GTTAGAAGATCAGCTACGCTTTCAGATGTTTCTTGTTCGATAACTCAGAAATCTCAGATAATGAATGCGATCTCATGGGCTCTTCGATATGCCAATAATTCTTTCATTTATTTGAATAACACCACACCATGTGGAACAGATCGTTACAAGACTTGGTATGGTACATTTATGTTAGCCAACTGGAATAAAGTGAAGGGACAATATAAAAATATCACAAACGTATTTAATTCGAAGACTATGACTTTCGATTGTGGATGCACGGATGCCGGCTATTATGCTTATGTTTACCGGGATCAACCATACATAATCCACTTATGTTCTTTATTCTGGTCGGCTCCAATGACAGGCACGGACTCGAAGGCTGGCACACTTATTCACGAAACATCACATTTCCAAACGATCGCTGGTACATATGATTATGCATATAGTAAAGATGGATGCACCAGTCTGGCTTCGAGTTCTCCGTCAAAATCAATTATGAATGCTGATAGCCATGAATATTTTGCTGAAAATACTCCTGTACTCTTATGACGAGAATTCGAACTTAACTTAGAAGTATTTTTGTGTGAATAATGCTCACGGCTTCATATACTATTCATTTCCTTTTGTACAAAGAACATGTAATTCTAATTTTTTTTAGCTAAAAATTAAAAAATAAATATGATACGTTATACAACACCTCTAGATTTTTCAATCATTTCGAAGGGTGTTTTTCATTAGTTAAGGAAACTTTGTTTTCTTATCGGGTGTCCCAACAGAAATGTCCCTCTGCGTATTTTTTTAATAGCTCAATAAAAGATAATCGTAGCTACCTAATTTTTTTTTTAAAACGTAGAATTTAATTCTCTACAAAAATCAACTTCTTTTATTTATTCAAATGTTCTCCATTATTTTTTGAAAGCTTTAACAAACGAGCAGTCCATGAATTACAACTTTCAAAAACTACGTCGGACCGAACTTTTCTCCAACTACGTTTTAGTTCTTCAATCAATGTTTGTTTTGATGTAACTTGATTCCAATTCATTGCTCCCGCTAGCTCATCCCAGATACAGTAGTCGAGTGGATTCAAATCCGGGCTATTTGCAGGCCAATGGTCTTTATCCAGAAATGCTGGAAAATTCTTTCGACACCATTCTTGAGTTAAATGATGAATATGCGGCTTAGCTCCATCTTGCTGAAA